AAGTTATCGAACAAAACGGTGCATATTTAACCTAAATCGGATCATTGTAACTATGTTAAATAAAGCTTCCAATTTGATACAAAAATAATGGATTACTTTTTACTAGACCTTATATTTATTTGAACACTTCCTGAGTTCAGTGGAGGTCGCACCATACTGCATAAAATTAAATTTCTTCACCAATCCTCGTTTCTTTATATGGGGGAAGAATTTAGTCTCCAGTAATTCTTTGTGACTTTCACTGGTCACAGTTCCTTCAAAATATTGCAGGTAGACGCCTTTAACAGCAATTGCAGCCCACGCGGACACTTTTTAAGGATGAAGAGGAACGGCAAATGACGCGGTTGGATTTTCTGGTCCCCAAAATCGATAATTTTGTTTGTTTATATATCCGCTTAACCAAAAGTGTGCTTCATCCATAAATATTATTTGTTTTCATCGAGTTCGTTACTTTCAAACGTGTCGGTTATCGCTTTGCAAAAGTCAACTCGTTTCTCCATCGTTTTCTCTGTTAGCAACTGATGCGTTGTGATTTTGTACGGATGCAACTTAATGACATCTTTCAATCTTTCTCATTTTAAATCCAAAGCCTGAGCGGTTTTCTGAATTGAAGTGTTTGGATTTTCCTCAAAATATATTCGAATCTCATCAATTGTTTTTTTCTGTTTTAACGGTACGAGATGGACCAGGTAAATCATGTCGACGATCGCTCAAAGTGCCGTACATAATAAAATTATTAATAATCCTGTGAAAAAAATATTGAAAAATAAATAAACTCTCATTTAACCGACATAATAGTGATTGAGCGTGATTCTACGGAAGAAGAAGATGAGTAAAAAATATCAAAAAACATACTTTTTAAATATAGTTTCGCTTGAAATCTTTTTGGATCCATATTTACTACGACATGCACGATACGCCGCAGTATAGTTCTTGCCTCTAGTATAGAAGCACTCGATGAGATATACTTTTTCTTCTATACTTAACACTCCCACCCTGGCACTCGCAAATGTTTGTATGACGGTCCAAAAGAAATTGACGGGTCTCAGGTAGCAAACCCTAGTTAGTGAAACAACTATCGACGCTTAGAAGGGGATATATAACCGTTTATTTTCAATACATGTTCCATCCATTAGTTACCCCGTATATTTAGCCGCACTTTTTTGGTTGTAAATAAGCAGCGGTATAAAAGGATTTATTAAAATTACAGCAATTTAGTTTTTTTATTATTGCAACACTTGTATTCACACTGTTCTCTTACTAATGAACATATAAATTTTAACTTTTGCATTTGTTTTTATTTGCTTTAATCAAAGATAGCAGTTTTTTGTTTACTGAAAAAAGTCAAACATTGATAAATTAATTTACACAGATGATAATCGCCCGATAAAAAATCACGTTTACAATTTTTTGTAATGTGTTAATAATTGATTGTAAGAAATTTTGTATATCCTCTGAAGATATAATAATTTCACATCGTCCGATGAAAATTCTCAATCAGATATAATTCTATTATTTAATATTTTTACATTTTCGTTCATTACTTTTTCAACCATGTTATCCATATTCGTCACTTTCTAATACTTGATCGTGGTTGTCCCATCATATTTATATTTTTTGTAACATTGCTAAACCGTTGCTAAGAATGTTTCGCTTTTATTTCTATCTATCATTTATCTTCAATCATATGAATATGTATATTGTTAATATTAATATTCTCTCATCATGATACTACTATATTGTTGGTGTACTATATGCCGAAATTTGTGCGACGATATTATATTGTCGACGGACTGCTATATTGGTAACATGATGATATTGTATCATCGACAGACCAGTGTTAAAGACGCTCATTGCCTGAATTTTGGCTTGCAAAAAAATACGCGAAACCTAAATACGTTATTTCTTCCATCCTTCACTTAAAAAGAACTTGATTTATGTATTCGATTGTACGTACGTGACTGAAATCTGAACTTGTTACGGAAAAAATTTATTTTTTTCGCTAGTCGAGATAATCTTAGAATTATTTACGTTGATTTTTATTAGTCACAATTAAAAGCTTCCATCAATATTACGAAGATGGTTTAAAGAATAACTTAGTTGATATTAAGGATAACACTTTTAGTTTTATAAGATACTTTATTTTTCATAATCCGCTCGCTCAAAATATTTCCTTCAACGTTTCTCCAGGTTTCCGATTCTTTTCAAAAAGAAGTTTCTTTTTCCTCAAAATAATCGTTTACAGCCTTTACCGCCTTTTGATTCAACCCAAGTTTCTTTCCAGCTAGGAAAATTTTTAGTTTCGGGAACAGATAGAAATCCGAGGGAGCTAAATCAGATGAATTCGGTGGATGCAGAAGAATGTTCAATTCGGTTAATTTTTGCTAAACGGTAACGTTTGAATGCGCTGGTACATTGTCATGGTGGAATAACACTTTTTTTCTTGGCTATTTTGGGATGTTTTCCACGATCGCTACCTTCCCAAAAAATGCTTCGTAGCATTGGCCAGTAATCGTTTTTTTTTCTCATGATAGTTGATCAAGAGAATTCTTTTCACATCCCACAAAATTGATGCCATTACCTTTCTAGCCGCTAATACGATCTTCGTCTTTTTCGGAGCCGTTTTACCTCATTCAGTCTACTGTTTGAATTGTATTCATTTAGATGTGTAATGGTGAACCAAATTTCATCCATAGCTGCAAAACGCGACATGAAATCCGTCGGATTCTTCTTAAATAGCTTCAAAAATCGGCTGATGTCCGCATACGAACTCGCGTTTGCTTTGCAATGAGCAAACACAAAACCCATCCTGCGGAAAGTTTTTTCATATTCAATTTATTATACAATATAAAATGAAATGAATTCGCTCATTTGAGAGGCCCATGATCTCTGCTATCTCGCACGCTTTCACTCGCCTATTGGACAAAACCGTGTTATGGATTTTATTGACAGTTTTTGGCATAACAACATTCTCGGACCTCTAGAACATGGTGCATCTTCGATGTTTGTACTATCACACTTGAATTCATTTACCCAAAAGCGAACGGTTTCATAGGAACGGTTTTATAGAAAGGACATAAGTCACCCAACGTAGGAAAAATTCTCTCATGAATTTCGTCCGTTGTTTTTCTTTCCAAAAAAAGAACCGAATTACATTTCGAATTCCAATTTTATTCATTTCACATTATTGTTTGAAACATTTATAACCACAGTTATTGCTTATGTTATCATCATACTCCTCTATGAGTACCCGAACCAAGTTATTCTTTAAATTACCTTTATAATAATACCACTCTCATAATGCATAAGAAGTGTCCTTATGTTTTTTATTTCAATTCTAGTTTTTTAGATATTTGAATCGAAAATTTAATTGACATGGAAACTCCAAATAAGCTATTAGTAGTGCTATATTATTTCATTATAAATTATAGTCAATTTTTTAATGTATTTTACGCGGTATTATTGTGTGTTGATTTTATTTGAACAAGGAATATTGCTAAATACGACTATTATTGAACACCTAATAGTATATATTGTATTAATAATACTTAGTTTATATAAGCTAGTTAATAATATTTAACTTGTGTTAGATTTCAGCAATATTATTGCAAAAGCAGATATAAAACTTTTGGCAGAAAGTGATGAACAGGAAGTCGTTAGAGAAGTACATGAATACTATGCGGATTATTTAGCAATTAATCCACATTTATTTTCACTCGGCATAAATGCATGCTCAGAAGGTATTTTAATCTTATAAACGAACTTATCATATAGATATATAATAAAGTTATATAGATATATAATAAGCTTTAATAAGCTTTTCTTTTACTAAACTATTTATTAATAATGTGTATTATTTATATTATGATTCAAGGACTAACATGGGATCCAGTGCATTTATATAGAACTGCCCAAGGAATAACTTCTGTTTTACTGTCACTAAAGAAATGCCCATATATTAGATATCAAAATAGTTCCGGCATGGCTAAGAGATTAGCAGAAAAAATAAGGGAAGTGCTTAGTAAAGAATCTAATTCTTTTGAATTCAGACAGGAATCTAATCCTATCCTTCTAATAGTTGATAGGAGAGATGATCCTGTTACACCTCTATTAAATCAATGGACATATCAGGCAATGGTACACGAATTATTGACAATCAATAATAATCGCGTTAATTTATCTCATGTTAAAGGCATCTCAAAGGAATTAAAAGAAGTTGTTCTAAGTGCAGAACATGACGATTTTTATACAAGTGTAAGAATATTTTTTATATAATGCTTTTTTAAACATAATATATGTTTCTATTGTCTACAGATATCAATACGATATCTGAATCATTAGAAATAGTATTATATAAGTTATTGGGAGTACAAATTAGTTCGGTCCGTTTTCAAAAGATGGCTCTAGCTTTTTTATTTGCACTGATACATCCTACATTACTGAATATGCTAGCCCATCTTTTTGAAACACTCTGTATATGTATACGGGCGTGCATATATCTACAGTGTTGCATCAACATATGACTCATTATGTTGATATAGTCACTCGCATACCTTTCCAACGAAGTTTTAGTGTTCCTAGTTATCATGAATTCAACGAGTCCGCATTATGATCGGTTAAGAGCCGAACAACATTGTATGTATAAAATATTTAAAATTATAAACACGAAAAAGCAAATGGGTTAGACAGAATAATTAAGATTAATAAGTAAGTATATAAATAAAATAACAAACTTTTCTCTTTTCTATTTTCTTTATTGTTTTTTGACATTACCAACTTTGACAGAAGTTAGAAGTTAGTGCGCGTGCCTTTGAGCAGGCCACCCGTCGTAATGAGTCGTATGTTGATGCAACACCCTGTAGATATATAGTGCCTGGTACAACACATATATTCACTCTTATACAGGTAGAGAATTCATCAAACTGAACAAAAAGATCTTTTATTTCGCAAATAATCACGATAATTATTGAAATCTACAATGGCGAACATATACTTACGTACAGTTAGGAAAATTAAGTTTTATTTGTTATGTACTTATACATGAAATAGTTAAACAAAAGTCCATTACGTTTTTTACAAGTTTATTGCATATATTATGAGATAGCAAAACAGTGTTTATCGATTTATAATAACTAAGAAGTTTCTTACGTTTGTTTGCTCAAGTGTCATATTTTCTGCGGACATGTACTTACGTACACTGTGGTAATACACAGATAGGTCAACATTTCTGCAATGTAAACAATATTTATCAGTTACTGACTGATAAGTTGATTTAATAGAGATGTAACAGTGTCTACCGAGTAATGTAAGTAGAGAGACGTGTTGTGACAGCCGTGATGAACAAACGAAAGAATATTACGCTAAACGTCGGCAAATACAGCAGCTTCGCAAAAATGGGAAGTCTTATCGGAAGATTTCTACAGAGCTTGGAATATCTGTTATGGTTTGTTACCAAGCTATACAACATATTAACACTTTCACAACCGCTGACACCAATGTGGTGTCATGGGCAGGCCAATCGTTGTATGCCGGTGACACTCATGTGGTGTCATTGGTAGGCCAGTCGTTATTTGCCGGTGACACTCACGTGGTACCATTGATAGGCCAGTCGCTATTTGCCGGTGACTCCCACGTGGTACCAGTGGCAAGCCACTTGCAAAACTTTTCTTAGCACGTCATAATAATGTTAATTGTTTCATGAATTTACGTAAAGTTTTTTCTTCCAAAATATTGCCGGCCACTGGCGACGTTTCACTGCGCTAACATGCGGTTGTGAAAGTGTTAAACGTCATGGAACGTCAGATAATGTTCCTCGTAAAGCGAGACCATGAAAAACCGACATAAGAACTGACCGTAAGATTCAAAGATTATCTGAATCAGATAGATTTAAAACTGCAGTTGATATTCACGCTGAAATATCATTAAATCTTGATAAAAATATGTGTTAGAACTGTCCGATGTAGGTTGAATGAATTTCAATTATATGAACGCGTTGCTAGAAAGAAACCATTCAAATCAGAAAAGAATCGCCGAGCTAGAATCGCTTTTGCAAAAAAACCTTTAAACTGAACGCAACAACAATGGTCTCGAGGTATTTTTACTGATGAATCTAAGTTTAATCGATTCGGATCTGATGGCAAAGTATATGTAAGATGTCGTATAGGTGAAAAATATCGCAAGAATTGTATAAAACCAAGTGTAAAAGGAGGTGCCGGGTCAGTAGTCGTATGGGATTCTATGACTATTAATGATACAGGTCCTATTCATCGAATAAAAGGAATCATGGACAGATTTACGTACTTGAACTTCGTACAAAATGTACTGTTTCCATTTGCTGAAAAATATATGCTGGAAGAATGGATCTATCAAGCAGATAATGACCCGAAACACACCATGGTCTCACCGTTTTTCGTAGTCTCGTTTTACGAGGGATATTATCTGGCGTTCCATGACGTTTAATATGTTATATAGCTTCATAACAAGCTATACAACAGATATCCCAAGCTCTGTAGAAATCTTCCGATAAGATTTCCCATTTTTGCGAAGCTGCTGTATTTGCCGACGTTGTTCTAGCGTTATATTCTTTCGTTTGTTCATCACAGCTGTCACAACACGTCTCTCTACCTACATTACTCGGTAGATACTGATAAATATTGTTTACATTGCAGAAATTTTAACCTATCTATGTATTACCACAGTGTACGTAAGTACATGTCCGCAGAAAATATGACACTTGAGCAAACAAACATAAGAAACTTTTTAGTTATTATAAATCGATAAACACTGTTTTGCTATCTCATAATATATGCAATAAACTTGTAAAAAACGTAATGGACTTTTGTTTAACTATTTCATGTTTAAGTATACAACGAATACAACTTAATTTTTCTAACTGTACATAAGTATATGTCCGCCACTGTATATGAAAGAAAATTAATAAATAAGTGTGTGTAAGTGCATGTGGACGAGTAACGAGAAACGAATATTGTAGGACTATCTAAAAAGACATATCTTGGACTAATTTTATAATTTCCAACGACGAATATTGGCATGCGATGTAAAATAGAACGTGCGACACCAAACTTCATCATTCGATATTCGCAACATTACTCCGTTTTTCATAGCCAGCTGATATTCGTTGTTACGAGATAGTCAACACATTCCAAAGATATATCTTTCTAAACTGTCCCATAGAATTCGTCTCACTGCATCATGCACACTAATTCGTCAATCATTTTAACTCTTTAGCTATAGCCGAGCTAAAATTCTACCATTGTACGCATATAATGGATAGTAGCAACGCCAACGACATTTGTTCCTTCACATTATATAATTTATTATATTTGCATCAATATATGAAGTAATCCAATGAATTAATGAAATTTTCTGAGACTGAGTCATTGATCACGGGCTTACTAAAGCTCGCCCGGTACAACTTTTTGGCCTTCGATGGAAAACTGAGGCTAAACGATTAACCAGATAGCTTAATTTCTAATCGTGGCAGCGTATATATGAATTTTATTATTCTCCTATAAGGCTATAATCTGCGACCGATATTCGCGGTCCAAATCGCTAATGCAAATTCTGCCGCCGCTTAAATTTCCGCGGGAGCGTGGACACTAATTTGTTGGGCGCCAGGCACGAATCTCCGCGTCTATTAAATTTACCACGAGAGGTCAAATCGATAGCCACGGCTTCTTTCAACGCTAAAATGCTTTTCACCTAGCCTTGCGGCGAGCAGCTTGCGGTGATTAAAGTCGGAAATGGGAGAGTTCGTAAGATAATGGCGATAGGGTTATCAGAAAATATAGTACGTCAAGGTACTATATAGAATGATCGTTTATTCGAATATAAGCGCTAAAATAAGCGCTAATGCTGTGGCATTACGCATCCGTTACAAAACAGTAGTCCGACGGGTAACCTTCATGAGAGGACTTTCTGGTGGTCCACAGCGAATCCACGGAAGAGTTATTTTCTGCGTCCGCGATCTTATGAGCCTCGAATCTGGAGCGATGGTATATTCGACGTAGCGGAGTAATCCTCCCGGCGCGGCTACAACGACAGACTCTGAAAGTTGTACTAAGTATCCACGAAAATTATTTACGAATAAAGCTCGGATGTCTCGGCAGTTGACCGTGTAGATTTCTCCTCCCGATAATCATTTAGTAACGGTGTAGATCAGTGGTCTTATAATTTATCGATGCTCCGGGCGATGTAGCCCTCTGGGCTGTGCAATATCCTCACTTTTGCTTGGAGTTGTTTTTTTTTCTCTCTTCCTCTCTCTCGCTCGTAATCTCGCGGTGTCGCTTGGTATCTCGTGTTCGTACAACAATAACACGAAGCTATCTACCAAAGAAGTAAACGTCGGAGCACACGACCCATTAGTAAAACTTATAGTAAGAATAGAGTGAGCATGAGGTGTGAGAACTGAAGGTCAGGTAGAAAGAGACGGACAATAGGTGCCGTGTAGCTTTCTTTCTCTAATGAGGAAAAAGTGGGGAGAAAGAGGGGTAAGAAAGAGTGAGCAGACAACTTAATACTTGATTGTTCACACACCAGAATAAGTTATATGATAGTGAGAAAATTAGTGGTGCGCGAATGATCAAGTATTCAGCTGTCTGCTAACTCTCTTACCCCTTCTTCTCCCATTCTTTTCTCACTAGAGAAAGAAAGCTATACGGCACTTATTGTTCGTTTTTTCTATCTGATCTTCACTGCTTACTAGAGGACATGCTCGATCTATTTTTACTATGCCTATGATAACGCCATGGCTCCTTGGTTCGGATATTTTCGCAGGTTTTCGAAAGTTCGACGAACTTCCACTGACGGTCGATTGCCTGTCTCAGTCGCCGATCTCACCTCTCATGCCTCTTATCTCTTCTTCCTTTTGCCGACAATAGCATTTCCAGTCTTTCCTGTAGCGATCCACTGATGTTCGCGTGGCTGTCCGCTTTTCCTAGTAGCTTTCCGCTGTTCGTTTTCCTCATCAGCTAAACATTAGAGGAAACTTTGATATCAGTGTGTTCTCGGCGATAGTCTATTATCTCTAATATGTTGAGATTCACCTGGTACTCCTTTCGTCGACCGCTACTCGGTATTCTGTTGTTCGTTCCTCACATTCCCTACTTGCGCCCTATTATCCCCCAATATCCTCCGTACGTCTCAGCCATCGGGTAGAGCACGGGTCATAAAGTCGGGACGCGGGACCACCAAATAAGGATCTGTGCACAGAAAGTCCTTCTCTCGTTGAAAAT